ATATATATATATATATATATATATATATATATATATATATATATATATGTTTCGTATTAGTCTTAATAAAGATAATCGACACGCTTCATGAGCCCGGGTCTGTTTATTGCATGCCCGTAACATGTACACTGTGTCCTTTTTGCAGATGACACCACATTTTTCTGTTTGGGTAAAGATGTAAAACGGATGTTGAAATTGATGAAGACAGAATTTGATAAAATACAAACTTGGTTTAAACTTAATAAATTATCATTAAATTTAGATAAAACTAAATACATGATATTTAGTAACAAAAAGAGAACTGTTGATGATCCATTTAAAATTGAGGGTGTTGAGATTTGTAGAGTTAATGAGATGAAATTTTTGGGTGTAATCATTGATGAACAGCTAACATGGAAAAATCACATCAATTCTGTAAGAACAAAAATATCTAAATCTATTGCAGTACTATACAAAGTCAGGAAATTATTAAATGATAAAGCTCTGTACATGTTGTATAACTCAATCATTGTTCCACATTTAATCTATTGCATTGATGTTTGGGGGAAAGCGTGTAAAACATTTACAAAACCTATTTTTATTTTACAGAAAAGAGCTGTAAGAATTATCACCAGAAAGCATTACAGTCACCCATCAAGCACATTATTTCATCAACTGAAGTTATTGAAGTTCCATGATTTAGTAGATTACAGTATTTTATCAGTTATGTATAGGGCTCAAAATAACACATTACCATTAAATATCCAAAGAAATTTTATGAAAAGACAAAGTTGTTACAATCTTAAGGGGATAGAAATATTTGTCAAACCAAAATTCAGAACTAGTCTGAAGGGAAGGTCTACCTCAATCCAAGGAGTTGGATTGTGGAATGGTCTAGAGAGTGATGTGAAAAATACCAAGTCAATGTGTACATTTAAGAAAAAGATCAAAACTGAATTGTTAAAAAAATATATATGAAGTAGCTTAGTGTGTGTTTTGTATTAGAATTAGAAAAATTAGAAAGAGTTGTTCATTTTGTTCTGTTACTTGAAAATTATTATGTCTGAAATAATTGTTTGAAAAAAGGGGCAGATATAATAAGATTTTTTCTTCTTTCTGCTGCCTTTCATTTTAAAACTTTTGTATCCTTTTTTATATTGTTATGGAATTGTTTTGTACTTTTTTTTTAAACGAATAAACTATATACCATACCATACCATACCATATATATATATATATATATATATATATTATATATATATATATATATATATATAAAACCAAGTTATGAAATGTGGCTGTAAAAACAGGCAAACATTTTCATTTAAGAACCAAGTATATAGGATTTCTTGTCAAAACAATGTATTACATGATGAAAGCATTTTTTTTTATTATTGTTTATACAAGTATTTTTTTAAGATACAGCTTCTCTGCAGTAATCTTAAGAACAGCATGATTTTTTTTCTTGTCCACCTTCCATGACGCATTCAAATCAACAGGACACTTAATTTGAACTTAAGGTCTTCCATACAGGAGGTAAAGAGTTCATCAACACCAACCACCGCTCTTCCATCTGCAACTGAAAAACTGTCGACATTAAACTGGACACGGTGCCAAAAAATAAGGCTGAAGTTCATTGGATGAAAAAGCAAAGGTTTTATTTTGTGACACCGTGATGATTAAAAACTCCCAGGATAACACGAGTCTATTGAATGTTTAGCCACACAAAATTATTAAGGCTGCTATAAATATGTTGATTAATACTTTGTTTTCAAAAATGCTTTAAAACAATTTTAAAAATCTATTTCATAAAAAATACAAAAGGAATGCTGAGTGTAGAATAGCTTTGCTAAAAAAATGATGAAAATTTTGAAAATGGTTTGAATAATAGCTGAACCTTCAACAGTAGCTGAAATATATAGAAAAAAAGGAAATAAAGACAGGACAGAAAGCAGAAAGAAAAACATAAGGACATAAAATGACGAAAAAAAAAAGGACAACTATGGAGACATAAAAACAAAAAGACTCAAAAATTCTCATAAAAACACAAGGCACAAAAGGAAACTAAACATGCAGAAACTTTAAGGGACTAAAGGAAGTGTACGGATACAAGACATTAAAATGAGACGCAAAGAATATGCTAAAGCAGATTTGAAGAAGCACAACATGTGAACGATTTGGAAGAACTTAATGCGCCACAATGAGAAAATAATTAGAAAAAAAAAGTTAAACTATTTAAAAAGTACAAAAGTTACAAAAATAAAATAGCCATAATGTTGTGCAGGTGCTGAAAAGTTTGACACATGAATGGATGCAATAGTTTAAAGTATAATGAATGTTACAGTTAAAAAAAAAAAACAGAAGAAACTATAAACAGGATGTTTATAGTAAAGTGTATAGTTTATAGTGCAGAATGTCAGAATAACATTCTAATTTGTATTTAAAGTCACATTTGATCTCCGGCGGATCTTTCAATCCATTTAGACATGGGTTAAGTTTAGGCTTTAGTAAACAGAACCACCCAAATAGCCTGCCAAATGGCGTAACCTATCTGTAGTCTTCCAAACCTCCCCAACACTGCCAAAGCAGCTCTCAGATGAGTGCCCTCTATCCCAATCATTCTGCTTGGTGACTTTCACTGGCTGATTGAATTAATGTTGCATCTGCTAGTGTTGACATAGAAACCCTGAAGTGATATTTTGGTGCTGTCTGTTTCTGGACATTCAGATTAACAGGCAGCAAGGCCTAGTCTCGTTTGTGTGAGCACTGCAAGTGTTTGTGTATGTGCTAACTCTTGGACCACATGGCTAGAGGGTAATCATGTTAGCAAAAGTTCACTTCCACTAAATAAACATGCACTCATGTAAACATTGCTGAGGCCAGAGTCTTGTTTCCTTCAGTGATCACTCACATGAAGTTTTGCAAATGGATTTAATAATACTTTGCAAAAGAAATTACAGCTCAATCAAGTGGATACTGCAGTTCAATGTTTAAAAAGACATGCATTGCGTTTTGATTCTCAACTTATGCAAGCAAAGACCCCTGCCTCTCTTAAGAGCTTATGCAAAAAAGGAAAATTATTTTATTGTTCTTGAACCTTGAACTCGTAGAATTTTAGAGTCAGGTGATTTTAAAGGGTTATCTTCAAATGAAGGTAGCATGCTTAATAACTTTCTTTGTATTATTCAGTTTAAAACCAGCTTCGTTGAAATACAGATTCTTACACTTATGATGTTGTCAGTGTACATCCAATGCAAAGACTGGAAAATCATGAATCAATACATATGCTCTGGGAGAGAGACAGCTTACAAAGTAGAAAGAAGAGTGACTCTTAAGGGAGAGTCAATAATTTGATGCATTTCTGAGCAGAAATCTGTTTTGCTAACTGTCAAATCATATATATATATATATATATATATATATATATATATATACCTGCTTGCAGTAAAATGAAAGTAATTAGATCCATAAGGTGTGCTTCTGAAAGCATCAATAGATCTTTTTATTTCAGACAAATTACTCCAGTTGTGTTGTTAGACTTCCCTCTCCCCAGCCACTTTGGCCAGCTCCTCTGGGGGAATCCCAAGGTGTTCCCAGGCCAGCCGAGAAAAGTAGTCCCTCCAGCGTGTCCTGGGTCTTCCGCTGGATCTCCTCCCGGTGGGACGTGGCTGGAACACCTCACCAGGGAGGCGTCCAGGAGGCATCCTCACCAGATGACCGAGCCACCTCAACTGGCTCCTCTCAATGTGGAGAAGCAGCGGCTTTACTCTGAGTCCCTCCCGGACGATCGAGCTTCTCACCCTATCTCTAAGGTAGAGCCCAGACACCCCGCAGAGAAAACTAATTTTGGCCGCTTGTATCCTTGATCTCATTATTTTGGTCACAACCCAAAGCTCATGACCATAGATGAGAGTAGGAACGTAGATTGACTGGTAAATCGAGAGCTTTGCCTTTTGACTCAGCTTTCTGTTCACCACGACAGACCTGTACAGCGCCCGCTTTACTGCAGACGCCGCACCTATCCGCCTATTGATCTCTCACTCTATTATTCCCCCATTCATGAACAAGACCCCAAGACACTTAAACTCCTTCACTTGGGGCAAGACCTCCTCCCCAACCCGGAGAGGACACTCTACCCTTTTCTGGCTCAAGACCATGGCCTCAGATTTAGAGGAACTGATCCTAATCACGGCCGCTTCACACTCAGCTGCAAACCATTCCAGCTAAAGTTGTAGATCACGACCTGATGAAGCCAATAGGACCACATCATCTGCAAAAGCAGAGACGCGATCCTAAGACCACCAAAACGAATCCCTTCTATACTTTGGCTGTGCCTAGAAATTCTGTCCATGAAAGTTATGAACAGAATCGGTGATAAAGGGCAACCTTTGTGTAGTCCAACTCTCACCAGGAACGAACCCGACTTGCTGCCGGCAATGCGGACCAGGCTCTGACCCCAGATATACAGGGACCTAACAGCCTGTATCAAAGGGCCTAATAATATTAAGGAGTCTTAATATTTTAGGTGACTTAATATAATTAATCTTCAATATATATTTTTTTTAATCCATTAAAGTTGCTTTGAATTATTTTATTAGTGGAGGTTGGACGATTAATTAAAGTGTCAGTTATGGCTTTTTTTAAACAAGCTCATGTTAGGGTGTTGTCTTCTACTAAACATGTTGATGCCGTGATTTCAGAAATACAGTAACTTTTTTGTTTCTCCAGAGAAGTCATGCTGAAGTCTTGTCTAGACAGTGTTGCCTTAGAGTTCTGGTGGTGGTGGTGGTGGAGGGGGGGGGGGGGGGGGGGGTGGGGGGGGGGGGGATCATGTGCAATTGCGCTCAAGTGCACAAAAGCTGTGGGGAAAGAAAGGCAACAAGCATTTGGGCTGCTAGCAGATTATCTGTGATGCACACCCACTGAGAGGAGTGAAGTTCAGTGCAGGGTCATAAGTTCAGAGAGTGGTAACTCCACACAGACCCATACAAACGTAGAACAGAGCCTTTGATAATACATGTCTACAGTAATACCCATACATGCAGCCCACACACACATCGCTGGGGCATCTGGTAAGTGTCACTGTGGTTGAGCAGAAACATGGTCATCTGAATGCCACAAAACAGTTTCTGACTCCCCATTTTGTTTAGTAGGACCACTCCACTTGATGTGCAGAAAACAATGGCATGTACACATGGAAGGACATTAATATTGCACATGGAATTAATTATATACAATGAAAACACAGTGATATAAATTCAGTGACAATTTAGATTAAATCTGCTAATCGTATCCTCCGAGTGCTCATTAAATGATAATTATTTTAGCCCTTATCCTGAGCACCCTGTTAAGTTCCTTTGTTTTGCACAATCACAACAAGAGCTAAAGTTTCCCAATCATTTCCAGATAAAATGGGAAAGTACTATGAATATATAGCCTAACAAATAAAGATTTCTAAAAGTTCTTTTCTCCACTTCTAGTCAGATGAATCAGTTATGAGGGCTATAGATGTGCTTTAACTTGAATACTGTGCTAATATTCTGCAGCTTATAAATCATTTGAGTTAAATATGTACAATCAAGGACTTTTCTTAGTAAAGAATGCAAGCACCTCTTCTATTAAACAATGTGTTCAAAAACACTGTTTGGGAGTTACAAGAAGTTACAAAAGTACATAAGATCCATAGGGTAAAAAAAAAAAAAAAAAATCTATGCATTTGGCCAAAAAAAAAAAAAACGGTATCCCACGTTTTTTTTTTTTTTCTATTTACATAAAATAGTGGTAAAAAATAGGTTTAAAAAAAAAAGAAGAGGAAAACAACCAGCATACACTAAAACAAAAAAAAAAACATACCCAATATGGTCACAATGTCAAACGAGAACAGCAACAAACACAAAAAAGTGAAACAGAAAGCTGGCGGAAGAGTGACAGCTCAATGCATTCCTCTGCATCCATCCCCACTGCAGCCATCGCTTCTTGCAATCTCTATAAACATTATGCAAATGTCTTTGCTCCTGTGCAGCGCGCTATAACGCAATGTTGGCAGTAACAGAAAGCAGTAATCATGTTGAAGGCGTTTGGGTGGAGAAATCAAACAAGGGTATTTATTATCCGGCGATCCCTAATCCGATAAGCAGTCATCACTTTACTCTGCAGCAATGCCTTCAAAAATGAAAAGAAGAGGGAGAAAACTGCCAGCTGAAAAAGGAGAGAGTCAGTCTGACTAAATTCTCGAGCACTCTCTCTCTCTCTCTCTCTCTCTCCCGTGTGAGTGAACCCAGACAAATCTGGATTTAGCTTTGTTATTGTGTCTGTCTAGTTGTGGGTAATTAAATGCAGCTGATAATTTGATCTTTTTTGTCTTCTGTCTTTTTGTTCTTTTCTCAGAACCACTGTGGTAGATTACACTGTGGTGTGTGTCAATGTGTGTGTGTGTGATCAGACTTGTGATGCCATAAACGACTGTGCGTTTCTGCTAGATGTCTTCCAATTAGAAGGGTAAACAAAGGAAAGCGGTGAATAGCCGCTTTACCCGAGAGAAGATTAAAACAAGAAAGAAAAGGGGGAGACAACAATTGTCTCGGTGAAGACACAAATCACAAGTAGTGGCAACTACATTGTCTGATTTGCCCTCCAAGTGTTTTGAATGTATTTTCAACTTATTTCACTAATTTACTAAGTCACAATAATACGGATATTTTGGATAAAACACTGCTAATAAATGTTTTAAAGTCAAATAATTTATCAGCTGATAGTTACATATTATTCTGCACTTGTTTTCCTGTATTTCAAGCCTTGCTATAGAAACATGCACTTTTTTAAATAAACAACGGTTTTAGACTGAGGAGCAGACAAAGTGATGAAGCAGTAACGAGCAATGAGAGAGTAGAGAGAACCAAGTGGGACACAGGAAGTAATCAATCAAACGTCCTCCCCTTACTACAAATTGCCCTCCTTTTTCTCCGCTTTTATTAAACTTCCTCTCTGTTGATCTTTGACCTTGATGTTCCAAACTCTTTGTGAACCCCCAAAGATTTGCCTTTGGAACTCATTCTACAGGCTTTCAAAGCTCACTGATGGTTTAAACACTGTTGCTCCTTCCTTGTTTAAGCCAAAGCTAAGAATTCCCAATTGTCAAACAGGAAGCAACCCTATCATATATGTAGAAAATATTTGACTAAAGATGTGGATAATTGACCCAAAATGGAAGAAGCAGGTAAAAGATTATGTATTGATGGATGGATGTGGTTAATTGGTAGATGCATAGCACACAGCACTGACAGGAGCTCCACTTCGACTTGCTCTTTTTTTTGGTTCCCGTTGTTTTTGCTTGAACTTTTTCTGCACCTACACTGTACACCCATGCTACGGGTATGATTGTGACACACTTTTGGAGTTTTGTGTGTTGCTGCCTTGCCATCGTGCCATCTTGTTGTTGTGGTTCAGTTCCCGGCCTCCTTCCAGGCTCGGGCTCAGGCTCCGGCCCGTCATGGCGACCGTCTCCATAATCGTCTATCTGCCTGCACGGATCAAACTCTACAGAACAGTTAGGTTCCACAGGGAAACCTTGGATGTTCTGTGTCTGCCGAACCCAGTTCTGGAGGGCAGTTATCGTCAGTTGCAACCGTCGTTATTATCACCATGCCACTAACAGAACCTCACTGCCAACAGAACCACTCTGCTAATAGGACCATGCTGCTGTCGATGTATTTCTTTTTCACTTTTGGCGACTTGTTTTTGTATCTTTTGTTGCATGTTTTAATATTTCTTGTTGGGTTTTTTTGACAAGTCGAGACGGTTCTTCTCGTCCTGAGCATTTCTTTGCAATGATGACATTGTGTTGATCTGCATATGACAAATAAACCTAAACCCAACATATAAATTGGTGTGAAAACACAATCAATTGACATCACAGAAAGAAAAAAAATTAATGTTTCCTCTAAACATGGGACACAAATAGTTCACAGCTGAGCCACAAATACATACTCAGTTTGGTGATGGTGGTGGTGGTGTGTGTGTGTGTGTGTGTGGGGGGGGGGGGGGGGGTGTCACTGAACTGACTGCAGGGAACCCAACCTTATTCCCATCAATCATCATTTTGCCAAAGCAGTTGTGACAATGAGCCAGACCTTATCGCCAATGGTAAACAGACTTTATCACCCAGAAACAGTGCAGCCAGTCACACTCATTCATTTCTGGCTAAACCCTTGTATCCAGAATCCAAACTTGCAATACAAGAGGGGTGGAGTGTGTTTTAGCACCAGGTCAATGCCAATTAGTATAAGTTAAATGCTCCACAATCACAAACTAATATAATTTCATGATATCATATTTCTAGCGATGAAATTTCACCAAATGCTAGCTCAAAACAAAGAACAGCTTTTAAAGTTTTCCTGCTTGTGTTCCAAAAGCTGTTATCCATCCATCTCCATGCATCTGTCCTCTCTAATTCCTCTCTTCAAATTCTGTCAGCAGTTTGGCAAAAAGAGGAAGACAAACACGGAGAGAGTGAGAAACAGGAAACGGTGATGGCGTGAAGGCTGTTTAAACAGATATAGAAGATGTGGAAAGTCCTTTTATCTCCAGATTTCTTCATTTCCTTTGGGTTCTCTCCACTGCCTTCCCTATCTCATTAAAAAAATATGCATGACTAACAATCATTTCCTTATGATTTTATAATGTATTACTCTTATAATAATCCATCCATTATCTTCTGCTTATTCCGAAGTGGGGTCGCGGGGGCAGCAGCTTGAGCAAGGAGACCCAGACATCTCTCTCCACAAACACCTCTTCCAGCTATTCTGGAAGGCCCCCAAGGCGTTCCCAGGCCAAATGAGCGATGTAATTTCTTGAGCGTGTCCTGGGTCTTCCCCAGGGTCTCCTCCCAATCAGACATGCCCGAAGCACCTCCCTAGGGAGGCACCCAGGAAGCATCCTTACCAGATGCCTGAACCACCTCAACTGGCTCCTTTCGATGTGGAGGAGCAGCGGTTCTACTCTGAGTCTCTCCCAGATAACTGAACTTCTCACCCTCTCTCTAAGGGAGAGTCCAGCTACTCTGCAGAAGAAAGTCATTTCAACCACCTGTATCCGCAATCTCATTATTTCGGTCACTACCCAGAGTTTGTGGCCATAGGTGAGGGTAGGAACATAGACTTAACAATAAACAGAGAGCTTTGCCTTACAGCTCAGCTTCACCACAACAGACCGGCACAGAGTCCAAAATACTGCATACACTGCACCAATCCATCTGTCAATCTCAAGCTCCATTCTTCCTTCACTTGTGAACTAAACCCAGAGATACTTGAACTCCTCCACATGAGGCAGAACCTGACCTTCGACCCTTTTATATAAAGTTAAATTAATTTGAATTGCTGTACAGTAATAGAGAAAAAAAAAACTACATTCTGTATGTCTATGGGTGAAATAGTGCCAATGGGAAGTGCAAGAAATTGAGAATTATTTAAAAAAATATAATGAATAAGTGAGAACATTTTGCAAAAACCATTTTAGTACGTATGATTATAGTGATAATATTGGCAGAATCAGTTTAGGTCTTCCTAATACATTAATAAACCTAAGGTTTTGAGCAGAAATTGAAAGTAAAGTAATAATCAGATGTACTCTCCAGCTCAGTAGTTTTCCAGCTGGGAGCTTGAGATACCAAAGGGATGACTGAACACATGCTAAAGGGATTCAGAGGAGAATGTTGACCTGTGTCATTTTAACGCTGGCCATCCAACCATAAATTGATCCATTAGTATTCAACAAGAGTTGCATACCATTTGTATAATCGAGCAGTTCATTATTTTTTCAAATGAAAAACAACAGTGTGGTATGACACAATGACAACATGGAAGACGTAAAAGATGAAAAAACTACTCTGGGCCAGAATATGTTGACTTCATTATTTAAAAAGCAAGGGTTTTGTTTTCATATATATATATATATATGTATGAAGTCATATGCTGCAGAGGTTTGATACAGGTGGCTAGGTGGTCCAAAAACCCTACAAGTCTCACTATTTCATTCAGACGTACAGTACTGTACTTGACAAGTGAATGGTTGAAATATCACACTTCAATGTTAGAGTGCAACGTTTTTAACGTTTGGTTTAGGGTGAGAAGCCATTTACTGTACGTGATTTTACATTTAAGTTTACTAAACATATATCAATATATACAGTGATCAATGTTAAATGTTTGTTGTGTCTTATTTTGCTTCAGAATTTTATACTCTACATAACTCAACACTATATTAATATTTTACTAGACATAGTTTATACTTGTTTCAGCAATTTGCATTATGTATATTATCAGAGGCTATTCAGTGTTTTGCTGTACTGATGTGTGTGTGCAATGTGAGTCAAGTCAAATTTATTCATATAGCACATTTTAAAACAGCAGTTATGCTTAACAATAAAAAGCAATGGCAGTAATTTAAAGAAAAAGTAATAACAAAAATGGATTAAAAGCATCAAAAGAAAAACATAAAAACACAAAACAATAAAATACTAAATCAAGTGAGAACTAACTTATCTTGTTTTTCAGTGTGATAGGAGCCTGAATTTTTTTTTTAAACAAGTTAATATTTTAAACAATATGAAGTATTTTATATTTTCAATTTATTGTAATTTTTAGTCTAAAAAAATGGAAATGGCAATGAGTTAATTAAAATGAATTTCAGCTGACAAGACAAAAAAGGCATTTTAAGTAAAAATGTGCACTTTATTAAAGAATAAACTGGTCAAACAGAGTTAAACTGCACCGACTGTTGATAACATCTTGGTCACAGACACAAAAAGTACAAAAACGCATTAAAAAGAATTTGAGCCTTTAGGGGCTGCCATTTTCCACCAGTCTAACCATCCAATTATTCTATCCATCATCTCTCTGCTCTAATCTTCCATTCACCAATCCCTTGTGAATTGTAATCTGCTGTAATCTGATGGATTAACCTCATCGCTTTGGCTCATCAGCTGATGGTTCTGGTTCAGAGTCATAGCTGTAACCAAGTCTACTTTTCATCATGGATTGAAGTTATGAAAATTTATTTATGAATGTTTTTATACATATTTTATGTAATCTATTTTAATTTGTTGTAATAAAAAGTTGTGTTTATATGATTTGTCATTTATTTTTATTTTACATTACTTTACATTTTGGTTTATTAT